TATTAATTCTCAAGTGCGTATTTTTTTTTTTTGTCAAATACACGTCGATATTAAGAAATAAAAATAGAGTTTGGATAAGATATTTGGTTTAAATCACATCGATATGAATTATATCACACGAGATAATTGTTAATCAGTAGAGAAACAATCTTATTAGTCAGATAGTAAATGATGCATTTAAAAAAATGAGATAACTGAACTGTCTAAAAATAAATAACACTTTTAGAAATAATTGATTAAAGCAAATTAAAATCGAATGGAGTATATCACCTCAAAAATTCATAAATGATGGCTCTCAGTTATCAGATGCAACATATATACGTAAAGTTACGCGTAGCATTAGAAGCATTCGTACAGCACATGTCATTAAATTGCATACATAACAACTGATGCAGTTATATAATAGACGCATGATAGATCTCGCCTCATTAGCATACAAAAATATTCAAGAAATGAGAATCATTATCTATTGTGATAACAAAAAATATTTTCCCTACGATGAATATATTTACGAAGAATATGTCGAAGGAAGTTAACATATAGCGGTTTCTATCTGGAATAAAACGAGTTGCGCGACACCATGTGATGGAATATAACTTATATACCGATATACTTATTTTACGAATGGAATTGTCGGAAGGTCAAAGGACGTCGTCGTCTGTGCGGACAGACAGAATATATCTGCTAATTATATTGCTAATTATATCTTATGCTGCACATAATCTATCGCTCATTACGAACAGAGGTCAAAGGTAATTTATTCTTTTTTTTTTTTTTCAAATTTATCTCTGGTTTTATCCGGTTTCCTGTGGAATACGAAATATTTTAAAATTAATATGTTCGTATATTTGTTGTATAATTAAAAGCCTTATTATTGAATACAATTTTCTTGTGTCGTTCATTAAATTTGTAAATTTTTTGATGCGAAAAAATGCGATCAAAGACAATTTTAATATATTTAATAGTTATTTTTTCACGTCAAACAGGCGAACTATTGTAATTCATCTTTTATAAGTTTGATTGTTAAACTCATCATTATACGGATTCACCATTAAAAATAATGTTGTATCAACCAAATTATGGAAGATTCAATATCTCGTGACATGATAGAGCACAAACAGTCTTCTACCGTAAATAATATTACCACGATATTTTCCCAGTCTTTTTGTTCGTAAATGACTCACTATTAGATTTACCAAGTATGTATATGCGAAACAAGCAAGACGTATTAAAATACGATGCAAAGTAATATTTGTTTCGCTTACAATTGACATTTATTCATACAAATTTAATTTAGAATTAGAAATTTCTTTTTTTTCTATCGCGGTATAATTTTTTCTAAAATTATAATCGATCGAAATTCACGCATGGCATAAAATATTTTGAGATGCATTAAATGTCTTTATAATAGCAAATTAGATTATAGCGGTTGATAATTAAATAATTCATAACGCAATTCCGTCGGAAAGAAAAATATGTCTTTCTTTCTAATCAAAATATACGTGTCTCGCCAATCTTATCTGATGATCATATCGTTTCATTATTTCGTCCTGGCCTAAAATCTCATCGCGCAATGTCGAAATTTGCAATGCATCGCGAACGCGAGCGAATCTTCCTGAAACGGATGGCTGATGCAACCTAAGAAATACTTTCCAGGGACATCGATGCGCGCAATCGACGGCATTCGCGAAGGGACGTCGAGACGAAGATTGACCCTCTTCGAAGGGGTCGCAATATTCGCGCCTTCATCGGCTCCTCGATTTATCGCGCGAGTTATCGCCGACGACCGCGATAGGCGACGAAGACGAGAAAGAGGGGCACCTAGCGCCGAAGATTAAGAACGCCGAAGAGAACGAAAAAGAGCAAAAATACGGAACGATAACCCCCAGGGAGCCGCGTTTATTACCGCCAGCTACTGACGCAATGGAAATGAGTGATAGGCGTCGCAGGGGGTCCGCGTCCGATCGTTGTTATTGCCGTTTTCCACTGCCTTGCCTGTTGCTCTCTACCTCCCACGAACGTCCCCGGGACTGATAAACACTCGTCGCCTTTGAACCCCCTTTCTTCCGCGAGATCACGCAATGTGCATTTTTTATTGCCGCGGAATTATCACGGATCGACGTCAAACGTCACACGCGATCTCTCCTGCCGATGCTCGATGATGAAATCTCGAGGCTTAATTGCTGACTGTCTTCTTATACTGTCACATAGTGAATTCGGAAGTGTGAATCTGGTAATAAAGAGAGAGAGAGAGACAAGATACTTCTATATCTTGCACCTTAGAACTTTTTTCAACCGCAAGGCGCTTTGAATTTAATAGTGTGAAAAATATATTTTTTGTATAATAAAATATTACATTTTTTTCTAATTCTGAATGCGCGAGAACGCATAATAGAAAATTATGTTATACGTTTAAAAGGAGAATAAAACCTAATGAGAATTTATAAAAAGACAACTTTAATAACATATTGATCAAATTAAGTTTCTATCTATGTTTGTATCAAATTATTCAATTCCACTATTACATGTATGTTGTTATTCTCTCTCTCTATTTTTTAATGAGACGATATATCGATAACGATACTTAATGTTTAGCTCTGTTGTTCTTTATATACAGATTATGCATATTATTTTCTAGCGTTACGATAATCGTGTGATATGGTTTAATCTAAATCATCCCACGTGCGAATAATCATAATTACACAATAACATTTATATTTACAAGATTTCCGTTAAAGAAACGTGCGTCAACATGTATTATCTTCGATATAACACGTCACAAACGACATAAACGACATCACACCAATGCAAACGCGAAAATAAAGATATTCAATTCTCGAGGCAGCATTTACTAAATTAGTTTTCGCGATATCCCTTAACACTTTTACATACAATGATAAGAATAATTTTAACTTTAAATGATTAAATTATTTTTTATATTATTAATAATTTTTTTTTATTAATAGAAATGGATATTTTTTTATTTATTTAGAATTTATTTAGAATAGCTAGATTAAAAGTTAAATATTTTTTAATTTATATTAATACAAAATTATTTTCGCACAATATTTACAGCTAAAATATAATTATAAGAAATCTTAATATTAAATTAATCTTATTAATAATTGATAAATAAATTATTAATCGCAAACTATGTTATGTTTTAAAAATGAGTAATATTTAATTTGCATAAGGAAAAACAGTTATAGGAGATACAATGGTATATTTTTGGATAAAAAATAAAAATGATAATCTCGTGCTTCCGATAATTCTTATCCGCGTTGCACGATAACTTTCCAGCCTGAATATAATTAATCATCTATTCTCTTATATCGCGCGCTTTTTTTACGTCTGCACTTGTATCTTTATTTCACGCCTTGACCCAATGCATCTATATCAAATTCGTCTGGTGATTATGTTCAAGCGTTTACTAATAATTTCCAGAAATTTTTGGATGAAAGCTGATGCAAATTTAAAACTTAAAGAACATCAGCAAAAGCCAAATAGAATTTGAACACATGATACACATGATGATTGTTTATTTGTGACGATTATAATATCGAACGTCTGTTGCCTCGTGTCGAGATTCTAGCTTGTTGAAAAAAAAATTTTATCATCGAATATTCCACTGCAAATAATATACAAATACTGATCCCGGAATTAACTGCTCGACCTCTTATTTCGACTCTCAAAGTCTTATATATAGAATGACGTATTAAAAACTCGTCGTGCGAAACTTTTCGTTACGTGTCGATGAAAATCGAATCGAATTCCAGGGAAGTCCTGAATTCGCATTGAAATGGAAGGTTGGCGAATTTAGCCGATGCAATTCTTCCAAGAATGCTTGCTCGTGCAAACGATGACCATACAAATTCCAGAGAATCGGAACGCACTCCGACCCCTCGATCCGAGTCTCGGACCTCGTCGCTCGAAGTAGGTTACGGTTCTTGCTGTTTCCTCGTAAAACCCCCTACGTGCGTGCTAGCACACCTACTTTTATGTAGGCCCACTCAGTGCCTACGTGTTCCTCTCGCACGACGTAGACACGTACACGCTTGTGCACGGTGTGACGAGTCAGCACCGGTTAGAATTTCGACACGAATCTCGAGGTATTCCCTGATGTGGCTACCGCTAATCGAATGCAGCCACTTCGCGTCATCGTCACTTCGATTGTCCTTGACGTTTAAATACAATTGTAGACAAGTATTACGTGTCCCATTGTATTGTATATTGATATATTCATTTGCATTATTATTTCAGCAAACTGATTATTAAAACATCTCTTCCGCTTTTTTTTTTTTTTTTTTTTTTAAGAAAAAAATTAAAATATATTTCCGCTAAAGAAAAAGTTCCATCCTCTGAATATGCAATACACGGAATAAAAATTTGAATAGTGTCTCTTCTGTAATTAATGCTTTCGGCATTCGAGATGCGATCTATATAAAAAATAGAAATTGATATACGTAATAATGGTTTGGATGAATATTCAATTAGATTATTATCTTATGAAATAGTATATTGATATTTTCGATTTAGCCAAGAACTACGAGGAGAAGTAATTGAAAATAATTAATTCAGCGTTAATTATCGATCATTTTTTCGCCTTATTTCCTCTCATTTTCAATCACTTCTCTCAACTCTTGACTAAAACCAGTATTTTGCTTATCTAAATAAAATTATATAGAATATAGATGATTATCTAGACGAAATTTTGGCAACAAAATATAAATTTTTATATCCCTTTTATAATTGTTTTATAACTGTTACATAAGCGGTCTTAAAAATAATATTATATGGAATATAATTTGATCTTTTATCTAGATATATATTTATAAAAAAACAAATAAGATGAGAATTTTCATATTTCCACACTGAAAAAGAAAACTAATATCACATAAATATTTTTCACAAAAAATCAATATTATTAGTTTCAAAAAAATGATGCATAAAATAGTATTGAAGTTAATCTTTATTTGAATGATAAAATAATTTTTTTTCAGTGCATCTCATCATTATCTAGCGAATTGAAAAATCACCCAAGCACCAACACTGACTGAAACGGCTGCCTATTCTATTCTGATTTTCGCGAAGTGGAGCGAAGCTGCGTAAATGTACGTGTTAGAGTCGCGCAGGTAAGTAGCACACGGCGTTGTTATCTAACAAACCGCGAGCGCAGAAGAAGCGGGCGCTTCGCGCGATGAAAGGGAAATTCTGCCTTTTGCCCCGCTTAGCGATCCGCGGAGATCACGATGCGGTTCCGGTCGTTGATCCTAAGTACTCTCCCGCCGCGCCGAGCGGATCAGCTGCAGTTAACCCTCCCAGGCGCGCACTATTACTTGTACTACTACTTTTCTCGGCACCACCGCTCACCTTCACCTCGTCTCTTACTCAACTCAATCGCAAGCGGACCCCCGAGTCTCTCTACCCCCGTTGCATAATCGCCGTGCACAATCATTACCGAGTCGGATCGTCACTCGAGCGGAATAAGTGCGCGCTACGGATCGAAAAGCCGGCGCATTAATCGCGTCGCGTCACGTCGCGTCGGCTTTGTCAGGCGCGAAGTTCAGGATGGCCAAAGCGAACCCGTGACATTTCGACTAAGGCAAATTCTCGAACCTTGATTGAATCTCGGTTCTTCATGTTCCTACAAAATATAGCGGAAGAATGCAAATGCCTTACGTGAAAAACGATAATGAGAGCAATTTCGTGCATTTAGAAAGCGTATTTAAGAAGCCTATATTTATTATCAAACGACAAAGGAAAATAACACCATTTTGGAGACACGATAAGCTTTAAAAAACATGTAACGTACATTAACATGATGAGCTGCATTTTAAAACTAATGTAATACGAACGAATTATTATAAAACGAAGTTGTTGAAAATATTTCACGTGACAAACGCCACAGTTATCGATCTGCTCGTTATCGATTTGAAAGAAAAAAAAAAAAAAAAAAGAAACAGCTTTTCCTGTTTCTCGCAGTTTTCGAAAATTACTAATGCAGCATATTTACTCGTGCTTATGCGGCTCAGGGTTAAGATCGCATTGATACAGCAAAAGCAACGTCGGCATCGCGCGCTTATCGGGGCTCGTTTAAGTGCCAGCTGTCAAGGTCTTATCATTTTTCCGCGTGCTAGGTAGTGGCTCCTCAGGCTCGCTCGTATATCGGCTGCAAAAAAATATCAGTGTTTTCACGTTCGACCGTTTCGCATCTTTATCGCCGCCGACATCGCCGTTGACGACGCGATGGCAGCCTTGCGTCCTTGCATGAAATGATGAACGTTGAACCCTGCGGATACGCCGGCATAGCGGCGCAGCCTCTCGACATCTCGCGATTTCTCGTGAATCATCCGTCGTTCGCACATATATTGTCGTTATCTATAAAACCGATTACTGCAATGCGCTCGCTCTCGCGTGCATGCATGTATGTGTTTCGGGTCTCGATGTAAAGATAACGGAATAATGCGCGAAGCCGTTTAAATAATGACAGCACAGATCGTTCATTACGACCCTTCGTGGAAATTCATATTTGAATTAATAATAGAAGCTATAATTATTTTCTAATATTAATCCATCAGGTGTTTATCTTTTCTCTGATATAAAGATTAATGTAATAATATGAATTAGCAGAAGATAAATATATATTATATCATCTATTTCTATATCTATGTATGTATAGGCCAAGTATTATCACTCTGCAATAACTTGTAGATCACCTCATCTTTCACACTTAAGGAAAGATGAGAAAAATTACGGATATATATACTAAAGAGCAAAAACCTTATTTCTGTATCAATGTAGCTTTTCAAGAGTCAATAGCAGAGATTGTTGATTTCTTTTGTATAAAAAAACAGTTGAGAAATTTTAAATTTTAGTATGACAAAAGTATTGTAAAACGCAAAAACATGTTTTGATCGACGTGGACCATATGAGATCATCATCAAATGCTTTACTTTGCGCGATGCATATTATGCATGTTTTTCTTTGAGAAAGGTCATGATCCTTCTAAAAAAACATACATTCAAAATAGACGTAGACTTTTCATCTCGTTTCTATTATCTCTCTATTTGATCATATATTTGACTCTCACACGATTACGATAGTTAAGTTTACGATTGTACAATTGTGTTGAATAACAAGAGAATTGTCATCATAATATAAAGAGGAAAACGTGTTTTTATAATGTAAAAATAAATTAAGTAATCAAATAAATAAGAACAAGAGAGAGAGAGAGAGAGAGAGAGTCACAAATAAAATCATAAAATAAAAAAAGATCTTCCATATAAAAATATAAAATTATAAAAATTAATTGCGTCTCTTTTTTTCTTATATGTATGTTTTTTTTCTTTTACATTATATTTATAAGTAGACTTACGTATGTAATTCAGATAGAAAAAATAATTAAAAGGCTACGTAGAAAGAAACAATAAATAATGCTAATCAAAATTAAGTAAACTCGACGTACCATACAATTGTAATCTAAGCGACATTAATTTTAAGCTAGATAATTATAAGTGAAATAATTGTAAAACCTCGATTAAGATCGAGAAATGTCCTGATGCATCCTAATAAAATGAATTGTCAGTAATCTCTCAATTTCGTATTGTGTAATGCGATCCAATTGACGTAGGCGAGAAAGCGAACAAGCGATTGACAGTTTGGCAGGATGATTTAAAGCGCGAATCATCTCGATTTATCGAAATCTCGCGCAGTACTATCGACTTATTGTGACTCTCAAAACTCGTACTAAAATATACATCTAATTTAAAACGTATATCTTATGATGTAACTGCGCGGATATGATATCTCCGAAAATGTCACGATATCTTCAGGTATAAACGATTATTCAGATAGTTTTCCGATTAAATAATACTTTGTCAATAATATTAAATCTTAAACGACTTCAAAAATTAGAACGTGTCACTATTGATCGAAATAATCTAATGTGAATAATAGAGCTAAAATATTAATTCTTTTTTACGTGCTTATGTAAATAAAAATTGAAATAATAATTATTTAAAATATTTGTAAAAATAATAATATATGATTAACGTATGGAGAATCGATCTTCTTCTAACTCATTTTTATCGAGAGCTCTTAAAGTAAAGAAACTTAATTTAATTTTCTCAAGTTTGTGCAAAATTCTTATTGGACTCTTTGTTGGCAAGAAGATAATTCGAGGGTATCTATCTCACAATTATATATCAATGCTTACGCTAATTATAACCCAATTGACGACAATGACAATGACGAGGAAAGCGGACGAGAATGATCGTGCGCATCTTTATCGTCAATGTGTTCTCCGCTGACAAACATCGGTTAGTCGCCCCACGTGATAATATACACAATTGTTATCGCGGATATGCAAGAATAACGACGTTGTATGGATGGTACGATGGTGTCGACCAATAGGGCTCGCCGTCCTAGTGCCTTACCCCCTTACACGTGACCCCACGAACGTTTACTACGTCATTATCGTGGCTCTGACCCCGCGGGGGCAAAATAACACGTGATATTTAATAGCGCGCGTTGCCCGACCGAAACATATTTTTTGCGCGGGCTATCGAAATGTGACGTGCCCTCGCGGACCGATTATCTCGACGTCCCGTAAATCATCGATACGTGGGCCGCCTTGCCTCCACGTGGCAAGACGATTTAGGGATGATTACAACGCTCTCGATTCGTACAATTATATAGGACCGAGCCGAATCTAGTAAACACTCATTTTCGTAAGCTGTACGAAATTAGGAATCAGATTTCATGTGTGTATAGAAGATTGGTAAATATTCCTAATTATATACATCTTACATCTCGTTTTCAGATTCTATTGAATAGCAATTCGAACGGAGAATAGACTTATAATAAAAAAAAAAAAAATATATGTAGAATATACGAGCTAAAAATCGAGAATAAAATGGATGTATTGTAATAGTATTCTTATACTATCGTAAATATGTCTAGATCTTTACTGTTATTATTTTACAAAGATAAAAGAAGAGAGGAGGAAGAGATTCATCGATTTGATGAATCACATCTTCGAAGAAAAAATCAAAGTCATTATATAAGAGGAAAATCAATCAACATTGAGAATAGACAATCTATTCTATGTAAAAGATGGAATATTTTTAAAATAATAAAATAATACTAATTAATAAATTAATTAATAAATAATCAATATGTTTTATTAATTAAAAAATATTATAATTTTACTCTTATTAAAAAAAAAAATTTATTTGCCCTATTAATTTTCCGATTAATATTTACGATGTGTTATTATGTAATACATTTTTATTTTATAAAAAATGAATAAAATCACATTTTATATCACTAGAAATTCATATTACATGATTTGAAATGTATCGTAATACCGTATAGATGCCGCTATCATACGAGATTGCTTTGAAATGATTTTCTGTATTACAAAACAGTAACGCGCCGGTAAAATTGAAATCGTGAACGAATTTACCATTTCCATAAATATATTTTTTGTATCAAGTAAAGAAATTATAAATAATATGGACAATTAAACCCGAATTCAAATACAATATTAATTATTTATTGTAATAAATATCGAATAATGCAATTAGTAATTATAGATAATAATTTTATAATAGTTGAAAAAAGTTGGATTTTAGATATAGAGAGAATTCTATATTACATTACATAATATGAAATAGTTAAAATTGAAAATTAAAAATTGTCTTTGTACAAAATCTAATTATGTTCGATTAATTCAACGTAATAGTTTGATTTCATAAAATTAAATATATTAAGATTGTTTAAATTTTTATAGTTTTTGTAGTTTCGTGCAATTTCCTGTAATTTTATCAAAGCAAATAAAATGATACTTTATTCTAAAATACCAAGTACCAACTTTTAAGTTATCTACTGAGTGTGTAGTATCAAGCATCGATATTTTAGGCATTCTCGAACAGAGCATTCCGAGCTCGATGTCTGTATTCTGATTCTGGATATGTTATCTACTGCAAGAAGATACTAACGAGAGAGTTAAGAATGTATTGAAAAGATGGAGCATGTGGAAAGTACTTTAAAATTCGCTTTCTTCACGATAGCAATATCGATAAAACTCTACGTCTCGGGTTTAGCAACATAAACGTTTCCATTCGTTACCAAGAAAATTGTCCTTTCGAGCGTTTGTAGTGTGTGTTTCGAATAGAGCAAGTGGTGGTAAACAAATTATTTAAAAGATCATCTTTTTCCCCTGTAAAGGTAAATCTTTTTCCCATAATTTTTCGCTATATAATTAGTCTACTTTTATTTTCGAAACAAATAATTATAACGTTCTGATCTTCCTCTAGTAATGAAATTATCATGTAATAAAATCGAAGCGCATTTATCACGGAAACTTTAAAATATTATCGATATTTTAAATACCTATCTATTGCTAAAATTAATTAAAACAATTCAAAATATTACTGCTTTTAACAGCCTCTTATCAAATTTATCAAAATATTAAATATGATACTATTTTAATTTATTTTAAATTATTTTAATTTTTTGTCAAATAAGAACATTGTATTCATTTTCTTGCAAAATTGATATCTAGTGACATAAATTATTATACGACAGATCCAAAACATTCGCGCTGTCACGAGAGAGTTTAAAGCTAGCTGTGCTTTTCAATTTGTACATACACATATACCAAATAAAATATCGTTGTAATAATAGCAAAGAGTGAAAAGAGCGAATTTATCGAGGACGATCGAATTCCTTATCGCGACTGCTGCGGGCGAGCACAAGTCCCACAGGTGAAATGATCAAAGTTTACTAGACGCCGCACCACTCGTGCCTGTCCACGTCAATTTTCGCGTAATATGTCACGTGGAAGGTACGGAATTGCCGCGGGGCGTCTTTGATCTTGCAACCCATCCCCTCCGGACTTTGCCGTGCCTCTCTGTCCACCTTCCGAAAACCCACCCTTCGAGTCACGCGCCACGTATGCGAGGTAAGGGTGGCCAAATCCAATTTTATTGTTTGCACGCTTAGGCGCAGCCGAATTACACGATTGTAAGCGTAAACGCGGAGAAATTCGCCCTTCTCTGGCGCATCCCGCAAGTAAGGTGCGAAACTTTCTCTCGCCTCCGTGTGCAGCAAATTTCGAATTTTATATTTAAATGTGTGTGCGCGATACTTCACATGAATAAAAGTGAAGCGTACGTTCTTAGCATAAGTTAGAAACAATACTCTAACTATGTAAATGTATACGTAATTGTGCTATACATGCAATTTGTACCTTTTATTACTTACATATATTTAGATATTTTCACTTTTATTTTTAATAAATACTCTCATAAAGAGAAACAGAAACATTTGTCATCCGCGTGTTCTATCTTATTTTTGTGTAATTCAATATTAATGCATTTTATCGCGGATAAATTTTCTTAGAATCCATTCCAACAATGGGAATATTATCCGAAGGAAAATACAGAAAAAATATAGTAAAAAGATATCATTTTGTGTATCAAAATCGCATAATCTCCTAAACATAGATTGACAGGTCCGGATGTAGCAGAGTTGAAATCCGGATGCAGCCTTGCCTTTTTCGGCAAGCAAAAATGAAACCATGCGTTAAGAATATTTTCACTTTTATTTGTAATAATTACTCTCATAAAGAGAAACAGAAACATTTGTCATCCGTGTGTTCCATCTTATTTTTGTGTAATTCAATATTAATGCATTTTATCGCGGATAAATTTTCTTAGAATCCATTCCAACAATGGGAATATTATCCGAAGGAAAATACAGAAAAAATATAGTAAAAAGATATCATTTTGTGTATCAAAATCGCTTAATCTCCTAAACATAGATTGACAGGTCCGGATGTAGCAGAGTTGAAATCCGGATGCAGCCTTGCCTTTTTCGGCAAGCAAAAATAAAACCAGTTAAAAATCTAAACAACAACGCAGGAAAATTTTACAGAGGTGCGAGTCTGAGATGTCGATTCGTATATACTCGTAGCGGTCCATAGATCATTCCATTGTACTAAAGGGGGTGTGTACACACACATTATAACAAGAGCATAATGGCAAACGCCGATGTGTACACACAGTGGGACCGGCGGTGACACAGAATGTGCGGTGTTTGGTCTCCATTAATTTCAGATCGACTGGATGGTTGCTGCAGGCCACCTCTCGTATCTCTCTTTTTTATGGAGCCATATGTCTGTCGTATATCG